ACATCAGCCACAATCCCTCTTGGAAAAGGGTAAATACTAGGAAAAAAACTCAAATAAGGCAGTTTCTTATGCATATATGCAAAGGGGGGGGAAGAGAAAAAGTGAGGTACAAGTTTGCAGGTAGAAATGAAAATACTTCAGTCAAAAGTTTTGCTGAAGGGTGGGGATGTAAAACTGTGTCAATAAATAATTGCCCTGATGGGTTGTTTGCCCAAAAGAGGAGAAGGAGGAGGAGGTGGAGGAGGAGGAGGAGAAAAGGGCTCTGCAGCCCAGGGCAGTATTGGGGCAGCCGCTTGGTTCCAAACCCCTGTAGTAGGTTCCAGGACCCTGTAGTAGCTCCTGCAACAACAGGGACCATCCTGTGACAAGTTCCCCCAAGTCAAGCAGAGGGGAGAACCTGCCTCATCTACCCCCAGTGATGGGTAAAGGGTTGTGTTTAGCCCAAAGTGCAGTTTAGCCTCCAGTCCTGGTTGTGTTCAAGCCATCCATGAGCATCAGAGCCAGGGCAGTGCACACCTGGGAAGGGAAACACTTTTCCCTCCCTCTTGGGAGGGAAACACTAAAACACTTCTGAAGAATGCTGACCCCCTTCCTACAGGCTCCACATCTCCATTTTCACAGGCGTGGATAAGCAATTTATCAGTATTATTAACTCTCACCCCAAAGCAGCAACAGCACAAAAACCTCTGAAAAAAAATTGAATAGAGAAAACTTTTTCTAGGATGAACCAAGCCCAGCACTGGTCCCAGCCCTATCACATCCACCCCCACCACCTCCACCTGGGCCAGGCTGGGCTCTAGAGCAAACTAAGCATTTAAGAAATAGTCAAGGGAGGAGAAGGAACTGGAGAGAGAGCCCCAGTGTGACATTCCTGCCGCCCCTGATGCCCGGTGCGTGGTACCCGGCTCACCTCCGCTGTGGCCGGTGTGAGCTCCCGCCGCACCGGGCATCCAGCCCCGGCCCAGAGGATCCGGCACTGAGCAGGAGGGTATGAAAAACCCCCGGTACCAACCTCAGAGGAACCACAATAAATAATCTCCGAGTTAACACGGCAGCTGCTCCCCACTCGCCTTCCTGTTTGCTTTCGCAGATCCGGGCTGGGACGTCCACTTCCAACTGCCGGCCCCGTCCCGGCGCAGCAGAGCTCCGGCCGCGGCACCCTCCACCCGCACAGTGTCACCCCTGGAACCGTCCCTGCCACAGGGGACCCGTGAGCGCGAGCTTCCCAAAGGGATTCATCCCCCGGGACAGGCACCGATCCTGCATCTGAGCCCACGCCTGCTGCCTTTTCCTTCCTTGTCTATGTTTGTTTTGATTTTAAGAGGAGGAAATCCCGGCTCACCCACTCCCCGTCGGTGAGCCTTGTCTCCCCTCCTCCGTGCCTCAGTTTCCCCCCCTCTCTCCATTAGGGGAACCCCCCATCACGCAGACCCCCCCTCTCCTTCCCTGCCCACGCAGCCCTCGATAAAAGCAACGGGTCCTGATTTACGGGCACTTCAGTGCTTTACCACGAACACAAAGGAGAGGGGAAAACAACAAGAGGCAAACTCACATCGAGGATCTGTGTCAGAAGCAACAGGGGGGTCCGGGGCAACCCCCCCTGGCAGAGCAGCGGCGACCGCGGAGGCTGACAATAGATAAGGGTCTAAATTCGGCGCTGGGCTCTGCCCCAGGCTCTGTAAGGCGATCGGGGTGGGGGTGCGCCGGGCTGTTTATTTGGCTCCGAACTCCGCACCGACACTGCAGCGTCACCCGTGTTTAAAAAAGGAAGGAACGAAACGAAGGGGGGGAAAAAATAAAGAAAATAAAAAAGGAGCAAAAGTGCACGCACAGATTCAACAATAACAACAAAATAAAAAAAAATCAAGAGAACAAGGAGCCCGGGGGCGGGGGGGTGGGGGGAATAAAAGGAAACCCAGTTGGGCTGGCGAGGTTTAAAGCGACGCCTGCTTTAAAAAAAGAAGTTGCTAATTTTAACTCTCCAGTGGAAAGAGTGAGAGGTACTTACAGGAGACAGGGTGGCTGCGTCCTTCTCCACGGCTGCTGCGCGCTGGCGGCCGGGAGGAAGCCACAACGGATGGAGCCGCCGTGCCCGAGCCACCGTCACCGCCGCCAGAGGCCACTAGGCCGGCCCGGTCCCCATCCAGACCACTGCCCGGGGGCACCGAGGGCGCTCGGCGGCGGACTGAAGGGCAGAGGCAGAATGCGGAGGACAGGAGGGAGCGATGCGTAGCAAGCGTGTTGCGGGGGAAGGGAGCGCCAGAGCTTAGCCCAAAAAACAAGCCCCTGGTCTCGCCCTTCCTCCAACCACCCCAACACCCGGGGACGCCGGGGACGCGTCGCCTTTAGGACCCCCGGGGAGGATGAGCCAGCTGCTGGGTTAGATGACATTTCTGCGCAGACATTTCTGACCAAGTTGGCTTTTCCCCAAGGGAAAAGGGCTTTGAAGACATTTTTTTTTTCCCCTGCCAGTGGCAAAATAGCGGATGAGCTCAGAACCCAAAGCGCAGGGCAGAGCCGTGACCAGGAAAGGCCGCCCGGCTCCGCAGGGACTGGAAAGGTGACCTCCAGCAGCTCGGCCACGTTTCAGCTGCCACAAAGGCAGCGGGAACCCACTGCTTTACCAAATCCAGGATCCCACGTCCCAAAGGGGCAAGAAGTGGAGGTTTAGGTTTTGGTGTGCCCACCAGCTGGCTTTTATGAGCTCTCCCTGGAGAGAGAAGGAAGATCCCACCAGATGCAAAGAGCCAAGTGCCAGGCGAGGTGGCACACTTGCACCTCGAGCATGGCTGGAGCCTGGAAGCTGCCAACTCCAGTCTCCACCACCATTAAACCTTCAAGAGAACACAGGCAAGGCCTCAGACAGTGGAGGAGCAGATCTGGTGACCCAAGGGCTCTTCCCAAGCAGCTGGAAATCAGCCTCAGGCTGCAAAATCTCATCAGGAGAGAAGCAAGGCTGGTACAGACCCCGGGGTGTGTGCATGCGGGGACGGACACATGATTTACCGAGCATGGCTGCAGTGAGACGATGCGACTGTCTTCAGGACATAAAAGAGTCAATTCAATTAAGGTCACAGGCCCTAGAAGAGTTTTCTGCTGCAGAACAAGGTTTTCCTGGTGTGCCTCAAACAGGACTGGCCTCAGAAAGACAAAATGCCTATTGATCATGGGCAGCGATGCTGCACGTCCAGGACGCAAGGACGTGGCTTCGCTGGGATTAAATCGCCCGGTGCAGGCCGTGTCACGCTTCCCAGGCTGGGTCGATATTGCTCCTCTAATTGCTTGGCTCCTGTTGCTCACAGAGAGAAGGGGATGAGTCTCAAAGCAGTCCCTGGAGGTGCTTTTCTAAATCCTCCTCCCTAAGCGCACCACTTGCTGCACTGCTCCTCGGAGTGAGCAGTTCTGCAGTGGCAGAAATCACTAAACTGCTCCTCCCCACCTCAAAACTCTGTGCCGGCACCAGTGGCAGCGAGGGGCTTCATGGGAGGGCACTGCCGAACGAAAAACAAGAATTTGTGTGAGCCTAAAAAATAAGGAGCCATTGTCACTGGTCAGGATGGAGCCGGCGGAGCTGAGCATCCTGTCTCCAGCAGCAAACCATGATGTGGGGGAGAACGCAGTTACAGAGAGATCCTGCCAGCGCCCACCACCATCCGGGCTGGGGGACAGGAACATGCACAGAGCACCAGGACCACAGTACTTGGGACCCAAGGAGGGTCCTGCCCTCACACACACCCCACAGCAGACAGACCATCACTACAGTGCTCCGTGTAGTCATTCACTGCACTAAAACACGTTCGCAGAGCGAGTGGACCAGAGACGGTCCTGTACCACCCCCTGGAACACTCCCACAACACCGTGCTCGGCCGAGCTGCAGCAGGACAGACCCGGCCAAGCCCTCCAGCCCTGCTCTCCTCCAGCACACCACGGCCCATCTCTGGCACACACCGAGCACCACTGAGATACAGTGAGGCCTGTCTGCTGCACTCACCCCGATCCAGGCTGGGGAGCTGCTCTTGGTTTCTATCAGCAGATGAAGCCCTTGGTGCTGACCTTGCGGAGGAAGCAGCGATGCTGTCCCCATCTCCCAGCATCAGGCCTCTACATAAATTACCTGCCCCTTCTCCGGCACTAAAAAGCCATCACAACCCCACAAAACTGCTCACTAAGCAGCGGCAACAGAGCTCCCTCCGTTCAGGAGCTGGGGGCAGATTATTTTTAAAAATCTTTCCTTTTATTGATTTTACTCTCAGGTACAGAAGATGCATTACATGAAACTGTAGAGCCCTCATAAACTGGGCCCACGGTGGTGTCTGTACCACAACCTCACTGCAGACACAGGAGACGCAAACATTTACTGTAAGAGCAATAAACAGGCCAAGAAGGTTGAGAAGGGAAAAAACCTGGACATGATGCCCTCTCCCAGGGGCACCTTATTTCAGAGGAATGCAAGGGACAAAATAACAGCAGGTTTAGCCACATGTCTCCTCCACACAAGGAGAAACCAGGCCAGGAAAACCCTCCTTTGCACGGATACAAAGTGATGCATTGCAAAAAACCCAGAGAGTCCCAGATCACTGCTGGGGCCATGGCTGGGACTCAGCAGAGCTGTGCCAGGCAGAGAAGCGAAGGGGAGCATGGGCACTGGAGAACAGCAGTGACACCCACTGTTGGGTGCCACCTTCCTGCCCTGCTCTGGGGGCTCTGCTGCCCCGTCCCACTCACTGGGACCCCCGTGTGCGGCAGCACGTGACGGGTGCACAGCCAGGCAGGATTCCCTGTGCCCTTGCAGCACCAGGACCTGCTGTTCCTCCTGCCACCAGGGCAGGGCTGCAGGGTCTGGTCAGCACCACTGTGGGATTCTGAGCCCCTGAGCTGCACCCAGCTGGGGTGACCTCTGTGGGGACCCCCTGCTTGCCCCCAGCCTGCAGAAACACAGTCCCTGGCAAGCGAAGCCAAGGGGGAAGGCAGGAGACCAGAGGCTGGGATTTCCACTGTACCTGCTACGCAGCCTCCTGCATCTTCTACTCCTGCCAAGGATGAGCTGCAGCCACCACTCCTCAATCCAACTGCAAAGACAAAGCGAGCAGCCATCAGTCTTAGGGGATGGAGGCAAAGACAGGGCTCCCCACACACCCCATCTGTCTGGCATGGTGGCCACAGGGGACAGTGAGGGGCTCCCAGTGTCCCCTGTTGAAGTCCTGGCCACAGGTCCCCTCCTTCGCTGCCCTGAACCTGAGCATCACTGCTAAGGCCACACAGGTGGGGTGGGACCTGGCTGGGAGCCTGCAGGGAACCAGGAGCACTGAGGCTATGCATGGAGAGCATCCCAGTGTCCGAGGTGGGGACAGGATACAGGAACTTGTGGGACCGTGAAAGGAAAGGGGGAAAAGGAGTGAGGGAGACATGGGGAAAGTAGCTAAAAAGAGTTCAGGAATGAAACAAATGGTAAACCGAAAGTTATCATTAATGAGGGACACAGTTCAGGCTGGCAGCGTGGCCAGCAGCAAGTCACTCAAGGTTTTAGGTGAACCGGCGATTTCTGGGAAGACCCTCACACACATCCCACAGGGAAAAGCACCAACCTGCGTGCTCAGATACCCTCCTGGAGAGCGAGCACAGCCCACCCGAGGAGAAACTGCCACGGCCCAAGAGGAAATGTGGCTACTGAACTCATCCCACTCGCCACTGGGAGATAGGAGGTGACCCACAGGGCAAAGCCCAGCGGCTTCAACCAGTCTCATCATTTCATCTACCAGTGGCCGTCACCATCCGACGTGGGACAGCCCCTGCCCTGTGCAGAGCCCATCCTCAGGGCACAATCCTGCAAGAGGAGCATTGCTGAACAAAAGGGAAACCAAGGCATGGAGGCCAACACCCGCTTTCCGAACACACCATCAGCTCCCGAGCTGCAGCCTCACCCCCAGTGCCTGCAACAGAGCGAGGAATTGTGCTCGGCTTTCCGGCGTCCTCATCCTCCGCTCCAACCACAAAACCAGCCTTCCTCCCCCGGCTGCCTCCCCTCCCACGGCCAGCTCATTTCCTGGCATTACAAAATTCAGCCTGAACAAAGCCCGAGTGAGGAGCGTGTGGCTCCAGTCGGGGCTGCACCTACCCCTCGCTCCCAAGGAGCCGAGCAGAGGGGACACCCCAAAACAGCCGAGGTGCAAGCAGCTTTCCAGCCTCCAACGTCATGCCACATCATCTGGGGTCCTCCAGATGGACTAGTCGCAAGGTTTCTCTCATCAGGACAAACAGATGAGTCTGACTGTCACCTCCACAATGGGGGAGTAGTGGGCACAATGATGTGGGGCTCCTGCCCCATTTGCACCTGTCAATGCCCAGACCAACCTGTTGAGCTGCCCAGAACCACCTCTTTATTTCCCTGAATAAAACAGAGTATTCTACAGAATGACCGACCACGTGGGGACAAGGGGACCCACAGAAGAAGCTCCACCTTGCGAATGCCACACTCCCAGCCAGGATGAGGGAAGCTGGTGTTTATTGCAAAGGGACTCTCGACAAGCCTCTGAGCTCCCCCTCGGTGTCCAAGCAGCTCTTGTTGGTCTCAGCAGTGCCTTGCAGGGCTGGTGGCAGAGCCACACGGGGACCAGGGACCACGGGCTAGGCTGGGTGGAGGATGTGGCTGAGGTTTGCCCCAGGCTGGCTCTGCTCTGCGCAGCTGAACCCCCCCTGCCTCAGGGGGCTCAAGGCCAGCTCTGCCACCTCACTGGGGTGCAATGGGGGACACTTGGCCAAGCAAGACCTCATATATCTGTACACAGAGTTGTTCCTCTCCGTGGGGGACGCCGGTAGACAAGCCATGAGGGTGTGTTTCCGTGGGCTCCAGGATCCCCAGAGTGCCACGGGACAGCTGGTACAGCCACGCGGTCACTGCTCACACAGACCCTCACACCGACAGAACTGCCCGTGGTTGGTTGTTGGCAGCAGCCACATCCTCAGCTCCCAGAGCCCACCAGGCTGTCAGGACAACAACTGTCAGACAACACCCAATTCCACGCAGCCTTTGGCCCTGTCACAGTCCCCAGATCATGACAACTAATGGCAGTGCCTCTGCTGACCACTGGGGCAAGGCAAGGTGAGAAACTCCAGAGGGACCAGATCAGTCTCAGGGTGTTTAGCCCACAGTGCAGGGTCACACCCCAGTGTCACCCAAGACAGGGATGAACAGCATGCATGGGGTGACAGTCTGGAGCCCTCAGTGCACACAGACACCAGCTCAAAGGCTCGACCCTCTCCAGCCCCACAGCTCCAGGGCTGCTTCACACCCCGGCCAAGCTGCAGAAGCCACTGCTCTTTGGACCCAGTGGTACATCCAGCACCAGTAAACCCCATTTTTGCAGCATTTTTTGCTGCAAAGGATCAAAGCCCCCACTTGCCAGCACTGCCATCTCCCCATGTCTGTCCATGCACATCCTGTGCCCCGGTGGATGATCATCCCAGCACTGCTCCCAGAAACTCTGGATTCTGGAGTATTTTGAAAGGTCACCATCTCACCCGCTGCAGCTCTGTGAGACCAGCTCCCAGCGAGGGGCTGGGGTTGGGCCAGGCTGGGCCACCAGCAGCCCCCATGGCCCCCACACAGCCCACAGCTCTCACCCCTGTCACACATCTGCCTTTGAAGCCTTCTTGTTATAAACAAAGAAATGCTGCCCAGAAAAGGGGAAAAGTATCGTGTTTTCAAAATGTTCTGTTATTTCATAAGCTGAGGGGAAAAAATCACGTAGGGGAGGGATGGAGGCGGCAAAAGCAAGTGAATTCCCCTTTCTGAGTGAAAAGAGGAGGGGAGGAAAAAGGGGAAAGAGGAGACAATCTTTATGTCCAGTTTTGGGGCAGAAATGCTGAGCAGGCAATAACATTGTTCCTGTTTGAAAACCAAAGCTTCGGTTTCGCCAAGCGACAAACCAAAACTCCTCAGGGCAGGGGGGACCTCCTGGGACCCCCGTTTTTAACTGATGCAGTAGGGCTGGCACAACCTGCCATGCAAAGGCAGTGGATGCTGGGAGCTGCTCCAGCCTGCCCAGAAGGATCCCAGAGGATGTGCAGGGATGGCTTCCGGAGACTTCCCTGGATATCTGCTCAGCTGATGCTCAGCAGCCCCCAAGCCACAGCCAGTCTTCACTAATACCCCCAAACACAGGCATATTCCCATATATATAATGCCACCAAAATATATGCATATTCCCTTATATACAACCCTCCCAAAATATACATACTCCCATATATATAGCCCCCCAAATATATGTATTCCCATTTGTATATATAACCCTCCAAATATATACATTCCCACATATATAAGCCCCTCTCAAATATACATATTCTCCTATATATAACCCCCCCAAATATATATTTATTCTCATATATATAAACCCCCAATATATACAAGTTCTGTGTACATCATATATACATGTAATACCCCCAAATAAACAATCCATGGCCACTGCCATGGCAGGAAAGCCAAGGGGAGATGGATGGGCAGAAAAACCAGCCCTGGAGCCAAAGGGGCCAAGAGGGAGGCGCAGATTGCGGAAGGGAAGAGCAGCGACCGCAATCTCTCCTTCCTCTTTTTTCATGTTTCCTTTAGCAATGGGGTCAGGGCTGCAAACATTTGGATGCCAAACCTGAACTTCCCCACCCTGGGCTCCCAATTCAGCTCGCCGCTCCTCTGCCAGGAGTCCATGGACGTCCACCCCAAATCAGGGAGATCCCAGATCCCAGTTCCCAGGCTGTGCCGGATTGGTTTTGGGAGGATCCCAGCAACAGCAAGGAGCAGACAAAAAATAAAAAAAAAGAACTTTCTCCATGTTTCTCCAATTTTCTCCATTTCTCCAGCCCATGAAACTAAAGCATCTCAGCCATGGCCTGGCCTTTGGTTTGCATCAGCCACTGGGAATATCCCCAGGGCTTAATTAGACCTGATGAGTCTTTTACAGTTGGGTTTCCTCTGGCTTGACATCAAGAGGTGGGAAGGGACAAACTGGGAGAGATCCCACTCTGGGCAGGACAGGCTGGTGGTTAAATGCAGCGAGGAACCGCGGCTCCATCACAGCAGCACAGCACAGGGGGCTGTGGAAAGGGGGACAGGAGGGCAGCGTGTCAAGCCAGGAGGGAGAAACCCACCTCCAGTGGCATGGGATGCTCGGCTGCCTGGCATGACAGCACAGGGGTGAGCAACGGCCCAAGAGTGATGGCACAAGCCAGCTGTGCTGAGGGCACATTCACACCACCCAGAATGCAACCACCACCACTGGAGCTCCTCCAAACCTGCACAGGGATGAGGTGAAGGTGTCCCCAGCTTGAGGCAGGGTGGGAATCGTGGAGGGGCATTTCCCTGCTCCTCCAGGTAACCTTGCAGAGGCTTTGCCCCACAGAGTCCCAGCACGGGCTCCCTGCCCAAATCGAGTCCCTGGATTTGGGCAGGGGAGCTGGGCGGCCGCTCTGTCCCCGCTGAGTTGCGCTCCAGGGAAGGTCACAGGGGCCGAGCGCGGCACAGCTGTCGCTGCAGGTGTTGCGACAGCGGCTGCTGGCCCTGCCAGGACCTGGGGGACACGAGGGGGTGTCGGCGGGGGGGCGGCGACCATGTGCAACCGTTGGAGCCACCGAGTTTCGCTCTCGCTGGCTGAGTTCCCCTTGGGCAGCAGAGATGCAGAACTGAAACCTCCAGCTGTATTGGACGCGGGGGCGGCCGGAGGTGCAGGAGGGCTGGGGACTGGCACGGCTTTCGGAGCACGGCCATACACCGCCACACTGGTGACCAAGGGGTGCTGGAGGGACCAGGGGAAGCAGAAGATGACAGACAGACAGGAGTCTCCTCTGGCTCACAGCACCCACCCTGCTTCTGCCCTCTCTGCACAGCTGGGCCACCCATCTCCTTGCGCTCAGCACATCTGACGGGAGCAGAAGTACCCTGGGGCATGTGGGTGCCCACACCTGGGTTGGCACGTCTCCACTCCACAAGCCTGGCAGGACGCCCCTGCACATTGGGCAGGAGCTGGTCAGCAGGACCACAACTGCCCACACGGGGTGGTCTCACCGCCAGCAGCACCAC